CTCAGAGACACAGAAGAGGTTTGGATCCCAGAGTCCTCCCTATCCCCTTCACCTCTCCCCAGTGCCCTGGATATCAGCTGGGAGTCGCAGCCACACACACAGCACCTGGAGCTTTGAACGTCAGACTGGGCAGCTTTTATTTTGCCGAAAGCAAGAAAAAAAGTCCAAATAACACAAGGAAACTTGACAGGATCTGTTACCAGTCTAATCTTCCTGTGAAACTGAGCAACTGATGGTGGTTTGGTGCTGCAGGTCATCGCTTGCATGAGAAAATCATTCCCGCAAGGAGAAACTGCTTCTGCCTTCTGACAGATGCTGAGCCCTGGCACCAATTGTTGCAGCTGCTGCTCCCAAGAGCTCCCTGCAAGAGTGCAGACATCAGTGCCCATTGGTTTTGGCTGCCCTATGGCAGAGAAGTCCCCCGGGGGCACAGCTCTTTGGGGCAGGAGTCGGGCACCAGCCCTGCCAGGACTCGGGGTGGAGGCAGGTCTCCCTGGGCGAGGACTTGCCAGAGCTGCTGATTTTGATGCAGCCCCGGCCAAAGGGGTTGGAGCAGCATTGGTGCCCTTGCCCTCACGTTCCTTCTGTGTGTCCCAGCCCCATGTTTGGGATGACCACCAGCCGGGACATCTCCCAAAGAGCCCGTGCCAGCTTCTGTGGAGGCCCCGTGCCCTTCCCGCTGTGGCTGCGTCGGCAGCCGAGGGGGCTCTTTCTGCTGCAGGAGTGGGCTGGCACAGCAGGGAGGCTTTGCTTAGTTTTTGAGCTGTGCCTAAAGTTCATGTGCAGCTGTCTTAGCTACTTTGGAGAAGGGACTTCTGACCCGGGGCAGGTAGGCCGGGCTGGGGGAGGCCCCAGGGCAGGTGGCAGGGTGTCACAGGGCCCTTTGTGACACGGTGGGCATTGCCGATGGGATGGAACAGGACCCTTTGTGACACGGGATGATATAAGCACTGGTGTTGATGTGGCAACGCCTCAGTGCTCCTCGGAGCCTGCGACGGGACAGACGGGACAGAGCGGTGCTGTGCGGAGCCCCCGCGTAGCCAACTCTTTCCTTGCCAACCCGGAGCGTTTTTGGTAGTTTTTCATTAGTGCAAGTGTCCTCGAGGCCAGACCGCGGGATTTGGAGACCCAGAGCTCTTGTGTGGTGTCCCCAATCCCTGCGGCAGGTGCCCTCGAGGCCGTGCTCTGGGACTTCGTGCCCCGGAGCTTTTTGCTGGCGTCTCCATTCCCTGCAGCAGGTGCCCTCGAGGCCCGACTGTAGGATGGCCGAGAGACGCTTCAGCCTGGCCAGGCTGCTCAGGAAGAAATCAAAGAAGGAAGGCCCTGGGCCTGCCCCAGCAGAGCAGCCTGAAGAGATGGAGCAGCCCCAGCCCCTGCAGGAAGGTGAGTGGCAAAGCTGGGCCACAGGGCTGGTGGCTGCAGCCAGATGGGCATCATCCCATCCCATCCCATCCCATCCCCTGTGGACATGGCTAGGGTAGGGAGGGGGAAGAGGGCCCGTGGCTGATCCCCCAGCAGCTCCATGCACTGGGCATCCCGGGGCTGGCCCTGCCTGTGGAGCGCCGGGCTGGGCTGTGTTCTCCGGGCTGTCCCGCAGCCCCTCAGCTCTGACAGAGCTTGTTCTTTGCCAGATCCAGGCCAGGACCGGACACAAGAACAGGACCGTGCCCGTGGCCGCTTCCGCAGGGCAGCACAGGTACCTGCAGTGTGTCACAGGGCCCTTTGTGACACAGTGGGTGTCACCCATGGGATGGACTGGGGCAGGGTGTCAC